GTCCAGCCACTCTGTGCATCAAGGCTGATTTGGAACCAGCGTTGGAGAGAGGAACAATCTTCACTTGCTGAAAATCTTTTGGGGGACAAAAACGCCTTAGCTGGTTCATTTTATAGTCAGTAAATGTACTGTGATAAAGCAGGATATGAAGACTGAAGTAAACCTTGCTACTCTGCAGTTACAAAAGACCCATGCTCAATATTGCTGTATTTCAATACTTAAGCATTTTTTAAAAATCCTTCCCAGAAAACTTAGGCTAAGAAGACAAGAATTTGTTCCCTCAAGTGGCGTTTTTGCATAAAACTGAATTAGACCTTATGTTGAGTTGCTTTTGCTTATTGCTCCCCTTAAGACTGCTACTTTGAAGCTCACAAAAGATTCCTAAAATGTACTTGTATGCAGAAATTGTATCTTGCTGTTATAAATAGTCAACTTAGTTACATGTGGACTGTTAACACATTGAGCTGCTGACTGGTTTTCTGAATAGAGTAATGTATGTTGCACAACAGTCCTCGAATGTTTAAACAAGTCTCCATGTGAAAATCGCTTTCACTGGAGCTAGAGACAGAACCTATGGCCTACGCAGAGGTGTTAAACATGTACAGGTGTTTTCATATTTTAGGTTACATATTTAAAATTAGAATTATCCTGTATAAATTGCAATTACTTACTTGGGCATATTTTGAATAACACTAACTTATTTTTTAAAAGAAGCAAGATAGGACTTTGTGCAATGTATTTTTGTAAATGCTTTTCAAACTACGTCTCTGTTCTTTGCTGCCTATAAACTGACAAGATGCTATTGAGATGTTTAAATAAAGAGTTTTAATTTTTAAAAGCACATGTAATATTTGAAACAAATAATAAAGTTTTTCTTCTGTAGTTGTGGTGACCTGCTGAAATAACTCCTAGGAGCCCATTGGAGGCTATAGTAAGTTAAAATATTAGCTATTAACAGTAGTGCTTGGCAGACCCTCTGGCTTGCAGTAAGGGTGGGGAGAAGCTGAGGCAAAGGGGAGAAGTGGTTTAACGTTGGTGCCAATTCCTTACTTAGACTTATGGAAATGGCCCTACAGCCTGGCACCTTGTGCACTGTGCTAAGTCACTAGGATAAACATGCATTTCTAAGCTGGGTAACAAACAGGGTATGTTTGCCAGCCTCTTCTGGACAGACAAGCAAGCCCAGGCACCACTAAATTGAGTTTCTGTCTATCTGAAGGCTTCTGCAGGATAGAAGTCTTGCTATAGTTGATGTGAGTTGGGACATAAGCTGTTCTCTAAGCTCCCTTATTTTAACCTGTGCTTCCTGGTGGGGAAGTAGTCTTATTTTTTTACCCCTGTCTGCCCCTTCACGATTAGGATATAGTCACTGCAGCCTATGCAACACCAGCATCCGTCTTTGACCTAAGCCGAGGGCAGGAGTGGGGTAGACGTTGTCAAATTAACTTGTAAACATGTTCACATAAATGCCTCTCTTTGCTCAATGCACGTAATTACAAATTAAAGTGAAGCAACCCCAAGAGCTTTTTTCATGGTGGAAGAGAGCAGGAGCTTATATTTTTAAAGGTATTTTTTAAATGCTCTTGGTGAAGCTTGCACCACCATCCTTGCAGGAACGATATTTTTCATCAAGAAACTAAAAATTCGGGAAAGGCTGCGGGGAGCCGCGGGCCCCGTGTTCCTGTTGCCGCCGCGGGGGCGGGGGCTCGCCGCCCGACCCCCCCCCCA